GAATTTGAATCCCAGCTCTGCTTCTTACTAGCTATCTGACCTTGGGCAAGTCCTTTGTCTCTAGGTCTCATGTAAAATGAGAGCATTGGATCAAATGACCACAGATATCATGCTTATAGAAGCTAGATTTCACAATGGAGAGAACACAGGACCTGGAATCAGGAAGACCTGAATTTGTTTCTGGACAAAAAGCTCTTTTAACCTTTGTTTCCTCATCTGTAAGATGGGGTTAATAATATTTACTTCACAGCATCGGTGTGAGGATCAAATGAGTTAATATGTAAAATGCTTTGAAAAATATAAGAGGCTCTCTGCCCATGTGAGCTAGCTAAGAAAGTCCCTTGAGCCCAGACCTACCCCACGTTTATCCTCTGGAGAGTGGGGATAATTCTCATCCTGCCTCCCTCCCAGGGTTGTTGTAAGGGAAAAACTTTGTGAGCCAGAGAGATGTGAATTATTATTTTGGAATGTCTCCCAGGGGTATGTGGGAACTTGGCTGCTTCTGCCTTGAATTGTAGCCAGAGGTGGCAAGGACACTTCCCTGCCCAGTACTGCATGTCCTGGAAGCAAAAGTTCCAAACGTGGATTCAGCGTTTTCAGTCATCTGGGCTCTGATAGCGTGGGTGAGAGTGGCTGTGCATACACATATACATGCACCCACATACATGCACACAGTGCACAGTGCACACACAGCCCCTCCCCTTGCACACGTGTGCAGTGATGATGCTTCATGCATGATATAGGATGAAGAGCTCAGTGTGTTGTCTCTTACCCTTTGTCCATGAGTTTCTTAAAATATCTTGCCTGGAGAATGTAAAAATAGCCAGGCCAGATATGCATGGAAAGGCCTGGAAGCCCTAGTGGCAGGGGGCTTGTCACCTGTATGGTCCCCAATATTCTGACCTTCTGAGGAGACAATGCTTGGGAGCAGGAAGTGCCTGCAAAAGTCAGCCCAACTCCCAGCTCCAGCAGCACTTCACAAAACCGCCCTCAAGACAAGGTGGGGCAGCCGGAGGAGGTTCAGAGCCAAGAGGCCCTAAGTTCAATCAACCAATCAATGTTTACAAAGTGCCTACTACATGCCAGGTACTGTGCCAAGTATTGCTTCAAGTCCAAATCTGCCTCACTGACTGTGTGACCCTGGGTGAGTCCTATAACTTCTCTGTGTCTCCAACAAACCCCTGGCAACCTGGCCAAATCCCAGATTGGCTGGATATTTTTTGTCATTATTTTGGGGGGAGCAGGGATTCTCATGCATCCAGTCCCCTGACATTTTATATCCATGATGTTGGAGTTAGGATCTGAACACAGAACTTTCTTCCTCCTCCTCTTCCTCCTCTTCCTCCTCCTCTTTCTCCTCTTCCTTCTCTTCGTCTTCTCATCTTCCTCCTTTTCCTCCTCTTCCTCTTTCATCTCCTTCTCTTTCTCTTCCTCCTTTTCCTTCTCATTTTGTATTCCTCCTGTTCTTCCTTCTCTATCATTATTATTACTATTATTATTTATCACCAAGTCCCCATACAACCTTGGAACTCTGCTGAGTCTTAGAGCAGAGACCCCATTGGCCTCAGTCTAAACAAGAAATCAGGAGGTTATTATTTATGCTGTGATCCAGGAATGATGAACAAACAGAGGTCCCCTTGGAAGCTGGCTTTCGTGGGTGCCCACTGGCATCTCCTAATCTCTCTCTTCCAATCAATCATAGGGAAAGGGAAGATAATCCAGGAACAAGGGATGGCTTTGGTTGGAAAGGGTGGGGAGTGCTAGATTGTGGAAGGCTTTGAATGCCAGGAAAATGATTTTTAAGCTTGAATTGGGAAGCAACCAGGAGGCACTGGAGGCCATTGGGCATAGACATGACACGGTGCAGTGTAGATTGAAGAGAGCTTACTCTGGGACAAGAAAGATGGGCAGGAGAGGGGAGGGAGGCAGAATTCCTAGTAGCAGCCAGGTCATGGCAGCAGACTCTCTCCACTGACAAGTCCATTCTGTGGATGGCTATGTACCCATCCCTCTTCTCATTTAATGATTGAGCTCAAGAGAGAAAGAGACATGCCCCCCCTAATGGAACATCCAAAGACAGGTAAGTGATCAAGACGGGATGCTCAGGGTAACTGGAGTGGTCTGTCAACAAACATTTATTAAGCTCCTACTATACGCCGGGCACTGTGCTTCAGTGTGGGAACAGAGAGACAAAGAAAGAACAGTGGCCCTTGGCTGGTTACTGAGGCAATGCTGGAGCCCGCCTTCCTGACCTCTGAGCAGAGCTCTGGCTGCAATGCTCCCCGCCTTAGGCTTTCCTTCCTGGCTTTAATGCTTTTTTTAAACACAAATATTCCACTTTACATCTTCATTTGTACCTTCCTTCAGTTACAGATTGCTTTGACACCCTTTATTGTCTTTAATCTTCTTAGTCCTTTGATTAGCTAGGGAAGAGTTGAGAAAAATGAGGGAGAACATCTTGTCCAAAGCCATCCAGCTAGCTTGAGATGGAACCGGAACCAAGGGCTTCTGTTCCAAAGTTCCTTCTATCCTATGGTGTCTCTCCAGGAGGCATTTGGATCCCTCCTTGTCCTACTCTAAGAGATTTCTTCAGACGCCCCATGCTTCCTTTGCCTCCCGTGGTTCCTGCTCTTGGACATGCTTTCAATGCGTTTCCTTCCAGAGATGTCAGCCCTGGGCTGGCTCTTCTAGAATCCCAAGCTTGAGTTCTCTTGGGGGTGAAATCATCTGCCTAGAGATTAGATCATTGGACCTCTGGGAGCTGATGAGATCACTCATTGAGGTAGCATAGATGGAGGAAAAAAGAGGATTCAGGGCAGACCCTTGTGAGATCCCCACCTGTTATCAGTGGGGCCTGGAAAGTGGAGGTCAGCCAGGAACGGGTGGAGCCCCAGGAGAAAGCAACATTCTACAAGCCTAGAGAAGAGGGTGTAGACTTCTGGTCAGAGTTAGCTGGAGTGGGATGAAGGAGTGGGACATCGTGGGGACAGACTGGATTAAGGAATTGCAAAGTGAGGGCATGTAAGGAAGCCCTAATATCGATGCTGAAGTGCCTGCTTTGGGGGTAAAATTTGGGGAGGAGAGAAAGACGGAGTCAGGCCCTGAACTCATTGAGGAAGGAAGGAGAAGTGGCCACTGGAATGTAGATTGGGGGGTAAATTTGGATGGTGTGAACCTGGAAGTGATGATGGTGAGTGATGGTGGCAGAGAGAGTCTGGAAGAAGTTGGGGAGGGGCAACAGTCTTCCTACTGACCCCACCAATGAGTGAGGGAGATGGGAGAAAGTCGCCAGTGCAGGGAAGGGTATCCTTAAGAGGGAGTCAGCCACAGTGAGAGCCAGAAGATGGGGGGAGTGGAAGGGAAACGTGATGAGTTCTTTTTCCCTGGAAGTCTTCAAGCAAGGCCCGGATGATTCCTCTCTTGTCAAAGGGGTGATTGAGGGGAGTCAAGGTGGACTCAGGTCCATTCCCACTTCAAGATTCTGGGATTCTAATGTCTCTATGTAGATTGGTTCCATATTTTGGAAAGACTGGCAAAAACAGAATGGAACAAACAAACAAACCCCCCCCCCCGCCCTTTGTAGTGAGGGTGTCGATTTGCATCTGCTGGGATTTGATAATAATAACAGCAGCTTGCATTTTCATAATTTGAAATTTATAAGTGTTTGCTAGACATATAAATATATAAATATATATATATATATATATATATATATATATATATATATAAAATCATGGAACGGTAAGGGACCTAGACTCACCCCCCCAACTCACATTTTCCAGGCAACAATACTGTGTCCCAGAGATGCCAAGTTTACAACAACCCTTTGAGATTAGTGGTGCAAGCATTCTGATTCCCATTTTTCAGATGAGGACATTGTGGCCCAGAGAACAATGCAGCAGAGTGGAAAGCTGCATTCAAATACCAATGATGCCACTTTTTACCTGTGTGACCTAAGGCAAGTCACAGGCTTTCTGGGTCTCATTTTCCTTATCTGAAAAATATGGGAAAGCTGTTTTAGATGTCCTCCAAGGTCCCTTCTATTTCTAGATCTCTAAGCTTATGATTCTAGTGGCAAAAAAGACCCAAGGTCTTACAGGGAGTTAGTGGCAGAGCTGGGACCCTGATGTAAGGTGGATGCGTCCAATGGTCTTTCCATCCCAAACTGCATCATCACTCCCTGTGTAAAAATAGCCCAGTGACCTTTAAAGTGTTTAACATTAGGAGGAATATAGAGAGCAGATCTGCGACTCAGGGAGATCCTGGATAAAGAGCCACCAGGCACCAATGCACATTAGTAATTATTCTGTGCTCCCAAGTACCTGAGAGGGTCTTGCCTAAAATCCTATGGTCTATCAGTAAGTCAGTCAGTCAGTCAGTCAGCAAGCATTTATTAAACACTCACTGTGTGTTACACACGTGTGTGCTAAGTGTTGCAAATACAAAGAAAGGCCAAAAAAAGGTCTCTGCTTTCAGGGAATTCACAGTCTAATAGCGGAGGTAACGTGCAAATGATTGTGTGTGTGTATAAGAGATCTAGACAGTGTAAAAGGTGGGTAATCTCTGAGGGGAAGACATGAACAACTGGGGCAGAATGTGCCCATGGAGGAAATTCTAGCAAGATGGTGCTAGAAGAGGGCGCACCAAGAAGATGGCATATGTCACAGGTGGGACATGAACCCGGGTATTCCTAGCTCCAAGAACAGCTCTCTAGATACAAGCCATACTGTTTCTATACTAATAACAACAGTAATAATTTCTATCCAAAGTTGGTGTTTGTTTTTTTTTTTTTTACACTTGGCTCTCCACCCCTGTCCAGGTGGGAAAGGATTTGTGTTTATGCCCATGCTGTTTCAGTCCTTGTGACTTGGCTCCCAATCTTAAGGAGTCAGTCGTGGGGGAAGAGAGCTGTTAGTAGCCAGGCTCAGGTTTCAGACCTGGCCCGGCTTCCCAGGCACTTGAGTAGGCAAAATTAGCCTGCTCTCACCATCCCTGGAATAGTCCTCACTCTCCTGCTTTGCAGGAAGCACCGCGGTTTTCAACAGGCAGACCTGGTTCATCTGGTCCCTGTCTGAAGGGATGGAGTCTTGGGCACCCCTGAACTGAGCCCCTGTGGAGGGACCATGGAGCATGGGGATTCAGCTGAACGGGCTGTGGAGTCTCCACCTGGAAAATCCCACCCTGAATCTGCTTGGTCATGGGTAAAGTACTATTGTGCTTGTCACCATGGAGGCTGGCCAACCAGACAGGGCTCTGCCTTCCTTCCCCACTGGAAGTCAGGGCACTCACTGATCAGCCTTGATGGGGAGAATGGGCATTATAACTTGGAGCAGGAGGGGTGGAGGTCACTGCCTTGGGCCAGATAGCATGTGCACTGACTGATCCAGTGAAAGAAAGTGAGAGCCTCCAGTGAGCTACCTGGGTGGCCACCTCTGAGGCAGAGCAATAGACCTCTAGATTTGGAGACCAAAGACTTGGAGTCAGTCTCTAGCTCTGTGTTTATTACTTGCATGACGTTGGGCAAGTCTCCATGAGTTCTCTCTGTTCTAAAATGAAGGAGTTGGTCTACCTTGTGAGAGATTCGGAGGCAGAAGGGACCCAAGATTATCTAGTCCGTGCCTCTCATTTTACAGTGGAGGAAACTGAGGCTCAGAGGACAGACTTACTCAAGGTCTGAACCTGGTGACCTGGCTCACAATCTTAGTAGATTTGCTTAGAATGTTTTCTGTTCTAAGGTCTTTCTCAGAGAGTACATTCCCTGTTGTAAGATCCCTCTGATTCTCTGACATTCTAAGGCTTCTTAGCACTTTGCTGGATTTATTCTCCTCGTCTATAAAAATGAAGGGATTGGACTCCATTATTTCCGATGTCCCTTCCACATAGTTTGTGATTCATCCACCTCTGCCTTTATCAGATATTCTCTCTTCTAAAAGACCTGTCCAGTTCAGACAGTCTGTTTTCTGTTCTAAGGTCTCATCCAGCCCTGATGTTCCAGGGTCCTGTTGTAAAGCCTCTCTGTTACACAAGGCAAGGCACAGGGGGAAAGTTAGCAGAGCTGAGATTCGAACCCAGGTCTTTTGGTCATCAATAAGGCAGGTCTGTGGTGGTTTTGTCTTTGTATCCGGACACTTAGCACAGGGCTAATCCCTCAGTAAATCCTTGCTGATTGATTGACCCCCAAACCAGAGTTCTTTCTACCACACCTTCTGGCTCTCTCAGTTCTGTGATCTCTAAGTATGGTGCCCAGAGGAGAAGTCAAAGCAGTGGGCATTGATTAAGCACCCACTATGTGCAGAGCACTGCGGAGGCTATTGTTTGGTCGGGGCTAATAGATAACTGTCTTGTATATATGATATCACATGAAGAGATCATCAGAGAGATGGGCCAAGAGCTAGAGACAAGGGCTGTGTGGGGAGGTCAGGAGGTATCATTGGCATTGGGCTCTAAACGTTGGGGAGGACAAGTCCTGAACATGGTGTTAGAACAGCTGGGTTCTAGCCCGCATCCATGGCAATCTACCTCCTTTCTCCCTTGCCTGTGGGAACATCCATGGCTGGGCTCCTGGGTAAATCCTACCCCTGGTGCTACAGTTTCTCCCTCTGAGATCACCTGGAATCACTGCCATGCTAATTTTGTGAAGCATGCCATTGTTTGCATGTTGTTTCCCCCATCAGACTGTAAGCTCTTTACGGGCAGGGTTGTTTTTGCCTTTCATTATCTCTTGAGCCTTGAGTACAGTGAGCGCTGCCGAGGTGTTTATTGGCTGCTCGCCACTGGGGGCCTCCTACCTTCCATTGACCTGTTTTGCTCATTGGGGAGAGTGTGATCTTTGACTCTCAGGGTCTCTCTTAAGATGGGATGCTATTCGAGACGTGACCTTCCAGAAAGCAGAGCCCTCCCTGCACTGGGTAGAACACACAGAATGCTTGCTGATTTGAGTGAGGCCACCACTAGAGTACCTGCCCCAAAGGGTGATGAAGATAGCCTCCTCGTCTTATAGAAAGCTCTAGGCCGATATCTTGTGTCCTACGATGGAACTGAGCCTCAAAGAAGTTTCATCGCTGCATCCCAACATCCTATCAGACTCTTGGAGAAACCAGGGCCTGTGGGATGCAGTTTGTCCTAAGGATATCTGCAATTCACTCCTACCTTTCTTCTAAGATGCTTGAAAACCAATCAAGGAGAAAGGATAAGCAGAAGCCAAAGTGGGTGTAGGTAGAGGAGTGGACTGAGGCAGTTCCAGATCCTTCTGAGGCCCCATCATTCCGGCCAAGTACTCACTGACTGTAACTTGAATGTAGCTTGTCATTTGTTTCTCTCCGTGGTCAGTGGCCTCCTTCCATACCAGATACCTCGACTGACAAATGGACAAGGAGGGGAAGGGGCACTTTTGGATTATTTGGTTTTGAAGGCACAGACGACAAATGGGAAAGGGGGAAGGGAGCCTGGTTTGAAAGGCAGTGGGTAGAGTTGGAACAACCGTGACTTTGGAGCTGGGAGAAGGCATTGTCTGGCCTGAGCCCGGCCACTAACTCATTCTGGGCAAGTCCCCTCCCACCTGGGCCTCAGTTTACTCCTCTGTCAAACTGAGGTGGGATGGAGGGGGCTTGGACTCAATGATCTCTAAGGTCCCTTTTAGTACTAATATTCTCCATGGGAAAGTTCCTCCCAGCTCTGACCATTCTATATTTAAGGCTTCTCTCAGCTCTGACATCCTTCTTTCTACAGTCTCTCCTAGATCTGACATTTTCTGTTCCATGTCCTGTAATGTCTCCACAATGGGTTTCAGACCAATTTATAGGATGGTCCACCTTCTACATGGGCTCATTCCTGATTCTGCTGGCTGATAGTGCCTCCCCCCACCCCCAAACGACCTTGGATTTTATACATACTTATGTAGGTACAAACTTATACGTCCCCTTTACCTTCCCTCTCACTCTGAAGAATAGAAACACCTTGAGGGCAGGGACAGTTTTATTTTTAACCATATCCCCAGGACCTGCTGCATACCCAGTGCCTAGCACATAGTAGGTCCTTGATAAATGCTTACAGATGGATTGGATGGTTAATTAATTAGTTTTTATTGTTTGGTTGCTTCAGTCACGTTGGGCTCTTTGTGACCTCGTTTGGGATTTTCTCTGCAGATACTGGAGTGGTTTGCCATTTTTTTCCCCAACTCATTTTACAGATGAGGAAACTGAGGCAACAAGGTTAAGTTACTTGCCCGGGATCACACATCTAGTAAATGTCTGAGGCTGCATTTGCATTCAGATCTTCCTGACTTTAGGCCCACCTGCTTTATCCACTGTACTATCTACTTGCCCTCGTTAATTAGATAGTTCTACAAATGGCTTTCTCTAGCAGATTCTCTAACAGAACCAGGTCTGATCTATGGTTAAGGGAGAATCCTTCCTCCAGTCCTCACCATGCTATCAACGGACCAGCTGTGTGGTTCCAGACACTCAGGCACAATGCTCAGTTTCCTTATTTATAAAAATTGATGGTATGGTATTGGGAAAGGGTTGAGGGATGGCTGGCCAAGGATGACCTCTAAAGTTCCTTCTAGCTTCGTCTGTCTGGGTAGTTTTCTAATTCAGCTGAACAGGTAATTTTTTTTGGAGGGGGTAGAGTGGGATGGCGCCTGGGGGACAAAGGCTATGGAATGTTCTGGCCATTTTATTTTTCTGGTGAGCTGGAAGTAGGATAGAAAACCCAGTTTCTTTGTTTAAAGTTGCTTATTTTTCCAAAACTGCCCCATTCCCTCTTCTCACCTAGTGGTCTAGGAGGCTCAAGGCCCTCTTTCCTAGCTGGTAGAAGATTCTGCAGGGCCTTGAGTCAGCCTTCCCCCTGTAAGGCACATATGTATCTATCTATCTATCTATCTATCTATCTATCTATCTATCTATCTATCTATCTATCTATCTATACTATACTATTTTATGGATGAGAAAACTGAAGCTCTGAGAGATTTTAGTAGCTATCCAAAGTCACAGACCTGGTTAATGCTGAAGCTCATACCTAGGACTTAGGACGCCAGGCTGAGCTCCCACCTAGGACACCCAAGCAAGGCTTGTGAGCTTGAGCACACCTGTGGAGTGAGGGTTCAAGTGCCTTGAGATTTTCTGTAATTAGCCATTTTACAGGATTTCAGTTGGAAGCATTAGTGTCAGGCAGGCAGGAAAGCAACAAGTATTTATGAAGTGCTTGCTGTATGCCAATGCACAGTGGTTATCTAGTTCAGTGCATACCCCAAAAGGAAGAAATCCCTTCAGCTACCTACCTGTCAGGTGGTTGTCCAGCCTCTTTCTGGAGCTAGAAAGTGATGGGGGAGGCCACACTCAAAGCAGCCCATTCCCCTTTGGGGGCAGTTCCCCTTGTTAGGAATGTCTAGTTGCCTCTGGTTCTGCCCACTGGGGTCAAAAGGAACAGGCCAAAATCTCTTCCATAGTTCAGCTCCACCTTCACTTTTCCCCCACCCCAGTCTTTTCTCCAGAAGTATTCCCATTTCTTTCCCTCTTCATACAATACAGACTCAAAACCTTTCATCACCCAGGTCACCTTTCTCTGTTTTGTTGCTAGGCAATGGGGTGAAGTGACTTGCCCAGGGTCACACAGCTAGTAAGTGTCAAGTGTCTGAGGGCAGATTTGAACTCATGTCCTCCTGACTCCAAGGCTGGTGCTCTATCCACTGCTCCACCTAGCTGCTCCATCAGGTCACCTTTCTCTGGACACTCTCCATATTATTAATTTTCATTTTAAGCTATGGAACCCAGAGCTGGTCATAGAATTCTAGATGTGACTGGAGCAAGGCATTCTTCAGAGAGATTATCCAAAAGCGCTTTGCAAACCTTAAAGGGCCACATCAATCCTAGTTGTCGTTTTTGCCTCTTTTTTTCTAGAAGCTATGCATCTTTAAAAAAAATAACTTAAAAAGTGAACAAAATCGATTTTCCCTCCTCACTTCCCCCAGTGAGAAAGAAGAAAAGCAAAAAAACCCTCATAAGAAACAGGATGCCATTCACCGCAGTTCAGGATTGCCTTTGCTTTTGTTACATCAACCCTGTCGCCAACGCTATGGAGCCTGTGGTCCCCTAAAACCCCGGATGCTTTTCGGCTGCACTCCTGTCCAGCAGTGTCTTCCTCATCCTGTGCTTGTGAGTTGGTTTTTGGGACTTTGTGAGGATGCAAGATTACACTAATC